CTGACCCGATCAATCATTATCTCTAAATCTGCTTTTTTTTTGTTCCAAGGAGGAAATAGCAATTCTAGGATAGATATTCTGATAACTCTGAAGGAGTTTCCCTGCTGATAAATGTGAATAGCTACAGAAGGTCACTCTTTCCCTACAGTACCATTTCTGACAGTGTGCTGAGCTGAAAAGTGTATGTGCATCTCCCTAATGCTTTAGTTGTAATTTTTTTTTTTTCTGGTTGAAAGAAAAAGCAAAAATGTTGAGAAAAGTGCAGAATATTTGATCTGTACACTGAGTGTAAAATTATCGGAAATGCAGTGTTCAAAGTTTGTAATGAACCGGTCTTCACTGGCATGTATCATGTAGAAACCTGCTGCTCTGATGTAACAAAAGATACAAGTGAATGTATGTAATTATTAAATAGGTAAACAATAGAATATCAATAATAATAAGATATTACTGCTTGGTGAGACACTGTTATTAAAATATGTTATTGTAGTTTTTGATTATATTTCTCTAAACAATGCTGAAAGCTTGGGAATCCTCTAAAAAAAGCTAAAAGAATTATTAGAGTTAAAATGCCTCAAGGAAATTAATTTATCCATGACAAAGGTCAGACCGTTAGCAAGCTGCCTATTAATAGAATCTGCACAAGGAAGACATTTCTGTTAGTAGACTAGTCTTTAATCTAGAAAAAAAAAAAAAAAAGAGCTGATAAGAAATAGAGGCTAAAGCTGTTCAAATTTAAAGTAGTAATAAGAATAAAGATTTTAACCAGAGAGAGAGATCAGTGGTCATTGGAGCAATGCCATGGATGACATGGTTTTCACCTTTTTTTTGTCAATTAATTTAATTTCTGAAATACTGTTTTTTTAGAGAGCCTACACAGCTTTTCATCAAATATTGTTCTGGTGCCAGTGTTGATTTTCTTCTTTACCTTTCCCAGGTCTCTGTTCATGTCCACAAACAAACTTAAGCACGAGTTCTTGATTGCTGAAATTCACTAAGTGAAAATGAACCCTTTTCTGAAAAGTTTAGTTGAACAGATCAGATTTTGGAATGTAGAAAATGATTGGGTAGGGTCCTATGGTGTATTTACACAGTGGTATAATTACATTTTACTAATGTTTTCTCCTTCTCCCCAGATGCATTAATATTTGGGGGGGGGAAGGAGGTTCTCTTTACTGAGAAGGTAGTCCCTGCTGTCACTGTGGCAAAACTTCTCCTCTCTGCTCCTTATTTCACATTCCACAGTGACCTCAAGAGATTCTCTATTTGTTTTTGATACTTCCAGGATGTTCTACTCCACACCTCTCTACCCCCTTTTTTATTCTTTAAATTGAGTTTCATATTGTGACAGCTGTCATTTCTGGGTTTGAACAGAAATTTTTCCAGCTAGAATGTCACTTCAAGATGAATCTTTACTGTATTTGGAAGAGATTAGCTCTGTCTTAGAATAACGACAGTAATTTTGCCTATAAGTAGACTATCAGACCCTCCAAAGAAAACTCCCAGATTTTCTTTCCAAGGTGCATAATACAGCAGAAACATAAATTTGGAACTGAAGCGTAAATTAGATTTGAATGAGAAGCAGGGCAGGTGGTAGAATTTTGACTTAACTCTACTGAAATTTGTGTATCATGGAAAGCAGATTTCATTTACAGCTGATGATTCAATAGAAACTCAGCTGCTGGCATCTGACCCTTTGTTTTGTACTGTCCCAATCATTCTGAGGGCCCAGACACCAAATAAATAACAACAGGTACTTGGCCAGCATTCACATGTTCTAGATTGGACTGTCCTTCCTTATTGATCTTGTTTTAGTTGGAAACTACTGACCTAATTTGCTTTCCTTCCCTACTGATAAGGACGCCTGTACAGTCTGTAACTGTGCTTGTCATGCTTACACTGAAAGGCAGGTGTACTTTATTTGCCAAGATAAACTGTTGTCATGTTCTGCGACTCAGCAGGTACATGGATAACCTTTGCTGCTAGGGCAGTGCAAGAAAGAGAGTTTTAGAAGTAGGTAAGCAGAGAAATCTTTTGTATCAGTGATGATCAAATGTTTATATTTCAGAAGTGTAACAGTTAAATGGTAATGGAGTATATGGTGCCATTACCACCTCCAAACCCCAAATGTCACAGTTTCTTCACAGACAGGAAGTAAAGAAAAAGATCTCAAGCTTTTCTTGATTTGTTTGTTCAAATTTATTTAAGTGAAGCTCTGTGCTCTCATATATAGCCTTCCACTCAGGTTTGAGTACACTCTGTGTTCATCATGTCTCACATGAATGCCTCACTATGAAAAGATGAAATAACTGTGTAATTCCTATCTTTAATCCAGTTTGTCTTGAATGCAATACATGTTTAAACTTCCATATTATATAAATTGATCTGATAAATGTAATTTTTCTGTGTGAAAGAATGTCTGAAATTCCATATGCAGTTAGTATTCCACATGTGTGGAAATGCCCAATAATGTCATTTCTAATACTGATTTTTTGCTGTGTACAGAAAGGTGCTATGTATGGAAGGGCCCATGGGCTTGCACAGGTTTGGTCTTGCAAGCAGTTTCAAAATATCAGGTAGCTTTGCAGGTATTTTTTTACACAGCCATTCTAAGATGGTGTTTATTACTCTTTCAGTCCTTACCAATGAGCATTTAAAGAAGTACAGCCAAAAATAATACAAACCCTTGAGCATTGTACTACTCAGGAGAAGTTGTACAGCTTTCCTCTTTGACTTTGCTAGTTAAATTTTCACTTGAAGATAATGAAACTTGGATACTATTCTATTAAAGCCGGATGTGCTTAGCTAAAAAAGAAGTATTTTATAAGTTTGTTTTGCTGGGCTGTAGGTGGAAAGCACAGCTGAGATCACACTTCTCAAAATATCAGTTGATTGCTCTGCGATACCTGTTTGTCTCTTTCCTGATTGGGTAGAGCTGTTGCTGGGCTGATATCATTTTGACCAAAATTAGAAAGTCAATATAAACGAGTCAAACTAGATTGCCTGCTTTTTTCAGTTCTCTCTTCTGATTCATCAGTTGTTTGTTTCAAATTTTTACAGCCTTTGTGAGTTGGGTGTTGTGCCAGCAAAGGTGAAAGCTCTTAGTGGTTAGTCATTAAGAATATTCATAAAAAATTGTCATGATGACATTTAGATCCTGACAAAAATATGATACCTAGTTAAAAAATAAAAAGAAGTGGGTCCTACAGAGTGATATTATTAAATACATGGATGTGGAAACCATTTCCTCGCTTAGGAGACTGCTGCTTCTCATGTTCAGGCACAGCACTCATCTTCCTGAGAGGATGTTATTGCCAGTGTCCTGTGGCAGAGGCTTAAGACCTGAAATGTACTGATGAAGGCATGTATCAGAGAAGGAGTTGCTGCCTGAAAATCTTTTTTCCTTCAGTATTAGCTTGTATACTTCAACAAATTAGACTGTGCCTGGTTAACTTATATTACTGATACCAGGGAGGCTCAGAATATGTGTAAATATAATTACGATATTTGAAGAAAAACAGCGTATGAACTGCTTAGCAAAATTTTAAGTTAGTGCAAATACAGGAAGTTGGCAGCTAAAGGTAGATGGTTTTCATGTAGTTGAAGAAATGCTGTTACTTTACCTGCACAATTAAGCCTGAAGCTACAGACTTATTTTAAAAATGAGTAGGTTTTGATGCAAGTGACGGAAGTGTTTTAAGTAGCTTAAACTTGAGTTACTTTAGACTTTGAGAATTTATTTTTTTCTTGTTACATTCTGGTGGATAAGAAAAAGATGGGGATGTTGTTGAATGCCATTCAGTTAGGATCCACTAGTCTTGCCACTAAAAGGTTGTATCTCAGTATGTATAAAATGAAGGTCAGGCTAGAAAGTGCTTTAGGAGAGCAACTTGGTTAAATCATGAGATCTCAAGATACCTTATAAAAATAGAAAGTAGGTCTCATTCAGCAATGATAAAAATAAAAGGGTAGGAAGAACATATAAAATCAGAAAAAAACCCCAACCCAACAGGGTACAATATGAGGTGCAACTACAAAGGGACATAAAAAGAAGCAAAACTTTTTATAGTACAGTGAGAAGACAACAAGAAAATAATTGCTCTGGTGTTCAGAAGAAGGTGAGCATTACTGACAGATACCACTGTGAATAGTGAAGTGTGAAAGGCCTTTTTACTTTTTTTTGGCTTCTTTTTCTGAAAGTGTTATGTATGACCAAATGAATAATCTCTACTTCAGTCTGGATTCTTTTATCACTAAAAAACAAGCTGAAGCATATTACATGTCATCAAACCAGCTGATGAAATTTACCTTTTGGTGTTTACAAAAGGACAGAGAGGGGATCCCAGTCTCTGGGATTCTTGAAAAGTTGTGAAGAATTGCAAGGTTTTAGGATGCTGGTTTTTAAAAGAAGAAAGAGGAGGAACTGGGGAGTGACAGACCAGCCAATTTAGATTATATTTCTGGCAAAAATCTGGAACAAATAATTCATCTATCTGTAAGCAATTAGAATGAACAACAAAATGAATAAAACCTAATTTGGATTTAACAGTAACAAATCAAGAGGAATGAGTTTAACCTCTTCAGTAGTTAGAAAAGGAAAGGTTGTGGTCTCTGCCCATCACAGCTGACACTGGCTTACTTGAAAGATTAGTAAAATTCTGTCCCATATGATTATTCTAGTTATATAAAGTGTGGTTTTAAGACGTTTTAAGATTACTGTGGCCTTGGTAAAAATAGTTGACCTGTACTAAGTATATCCCATTAGTAATTACTCCAGTGCTATACTAGTTCTGTCAGATGTTTCTGATTTCTTCTGTAAAGCAGGTTATGAAAATCAGTAGCATAAAAAATTATTTCTAGTTGCTGTGTTTGGCATTCCTTCAGTTGTTCTGCATGTGCTGTTATCTGAATTGGAAAGCAAATGAAGTATTATCGTCTTTTTAAGCAGCTGCCACCTTCTGATGTTTTCCATGTAATACGGTTTGTTTATTTTGTTACAGGATTTGGTTATCCGTGTCATCTTCATTCTTGGCAATTTAACAGCAAAGAATGACCAATCCCGGGAGCAATTTTTTAAAGAAAAAGAAAGTGTTAACATCTTGACATCAGTATTCCAAACCTACTATGATCTTGATTTGAATGCACCAACAGGGCACCATGATAAAAAAGGAAAAAAACACCTAAAGCATCCTTCAGAAGCAGAAGATGTTCTGATAAAACTGATAAGAGTGCTGGCCAACCTCTCCATTCACCCTAAAGTAGGCGCAGCTCTGGCAGCTGCCCATCCTGTTGTAGGATTACTTGTTGGAGTACTGGGTAATAAAATTTATGTTGTTCTTATTATCTTTGCTCAGCCTGTAAGGAGAGTTTAGGACTTCCCATTGCAAAAAAAACCCGAAGTCAATTGGCTGATATTCATAAATTGTTTTATGTAGAAGGCCTGCTTGAAACAGTGGAAGCATTGCTGCTTTGGTACTGACTTTTCAGTATCTGGGGAAAGATGTAGAAGTCTTTAATTCGGTGATCAGATTTGCAGATAGGATCATTAAAGATAAGAAAACAAATTTTATTTTAAACACATCTCACTGAGAGTTAATATATAAGGAACGTTTGTTCTTATCAGCTGCTATATAGATATGTTTGTTCTAGTTGGGTTTTTTTTAAGGTTTGCATTTTTTGTGACTGTTTTGGATTAAGTATTGTTTCTGTTCTCTCCACCCATAAATTTCAGCCTCTTCTAAAAATTTTCTCTTTTTTCTTCTTTTTCAGTCTTCCAACCTTTTATCTCTTTCAGATGGAAGAGAGTGTCTTCCTCCAAATGGAGGATTAGGACTGCAGTTCCTTTACCACTTACTGATCCCCTTGTAAATCTAATTACAGACCAGGGCTGGTCTGTTCTCCCCATAGCAGAGTTTAGCTGTGACAAGATACGTCTTAAACAGCTCAGTATATTTTACTGTGTAATGAGAACATTAAATATTACGTGAAAATAATCAACCTGATTTGTACACTGTCTTACCAGTCATCAGGGATGAGACGAGTCAGACTCACAACTTGGTTCCGTCTCAATGAGACTGTCTAAATGTCTTAATGATTGTGTAAGTGCTTTTGACCTGCAAAGCTTCTGTCTGTCACCCTCTCCTCTTCTTGAGCACTCAGTCAGTTTACTACAAAATGTTCTGTCTCCCTATGAACTTACCCCTCTTTTATTTCCTTCACTCTTGGCTTCTGAGGCCAAAGACCTCAAACAAGTAAATCTTTCAGACTTTTACATGGGTTAACATTCTGTCAGGAGCTCTAAGAGAAAAATCTTCCAAATATTGTTGAAGAGGTTTTTTCAATTTTTTTCTAGGTAGCTGACAGTTCAGTGTAATAGCCCTTGGCATTCCTCCATGTCTGTCACGCAGCCCTGTTTCTGCATGAGGATTCTCCTCAGTGCCATCTTAAAACAGCTTACAGGATTTGTGAAATGTCTTAACCAACTAAATTTTAAACTATGTTGCCTGAGTCACAATGATTTCTGTAAATTAATGGTGGGAAAGAGTGGTTTTGTATTGCCATTTTTGGATCAGGTGTTCCTGTTAGCTTCTGCCATGTTACTGAACAACAGAAGGTTTGACTGTAATAGTGGCTGTGTAAACTGTTACTCAGTTTGCTTCTGGGATCTAATGCACTGCAAAATTAGACACGTGTGTGTGTGTGTGTTTATTTACATATGCATATGTTTTGGGATTTTTTACTCTCAGAATACAAGTCAGTCGATGCCTGTGAAGAGCTGGTCATCAATGCTGCAACAGCAATCAACAATTTGTCCTATTACCAAGTGAAGAATTCTGCAGTTCAAGACAAGAAGCTACACATTGCTGAAAGTAAGGACTTTTAAACTAGTACTTTTTAAATAGCTTTTAGAAAGCAGAAACATTTTGACACAAGAGAAAGTAAAGACACTGATAACATTTTGTGGTATGACATTTCAGGAGTATAAAGTTCATAGGGCTAAATTCTTTCAATAATGATTTCCCTTTTTTTTTTTTAAATAACACTATGACTTATATGAAAATAGTTTGGCTCTTCACAAAACCCCTTCTTTTCCTCTGCAAAGGAATTTGCTGAATTGTTTTCTGCTCAGCAATTTTTGCTAGATTTGTTCAAAATCCATATACCTGAGCTAAAATAATCATGTTGCTTTTTCCTTCTAATCACAGTATGGCAAGAGGAGTTTTTTTCTCTTCTTCTTTCTTTCTATATCTGTAAAATTTGATGTCTGTCTGTTTCTGGCTTCTAAATCCATTTGCAATATTGTATGAGTGATTCTCTCCCCTCTGACATTATGGACAATAATCAGTTATGTGTAGGATCTGTGCTGACTTCTGGGACTCTTGTGTTTATGTTGTACAAAAGGTAGAGAGGCTGTGTCTTGCACATCTCTCCATCTAAATAGACAAGACACTGGGGAGAGACAGAACCTGAAGTTTGCACAACAGGTGGAACAAGGAATAGAAAAAATATCCTGGCTGTCAGCCCAGTGCCTGGACTGGTAGACATCATATTCTCTGTAGGTACCAGCTCTGCTGCTCTGTCACGACTCATTTTATCACCTGTAAGCCAGCTGCCTCTTGTTTCTGGTTGGAAACAAATTACTTCTCTCCTGTCCTATTTGTTGACATGTGGAACTAGTCCCACATACCTTCCTGAGCTGTGGAAAGAGGAAACCTTTTGATGGGAGACCAGCAGGCTTTCTGCTCCTGCAGACGTTTTGAGAATACCTGCTGTTTGATATGAGTGGTGGACAAAATCCCTTCAGATATCTCTTTAAGACAAGTTCAAGGTGTGTCAGTACTGCAACATCCAGAGGCTGAAGTAATGAGAACAAAGCCAACCTCCCTTCTGGTTTTTTTTTTTCTCTCTTCTGTTGTATGAAGGGCTAAGGGTTGACCTATTTGAATCTTCTGTATGATGGACTGATTTCAGTGCTTTGCTGTGTTCACAGAAGACTGATAAATGTAACTTCTGTAACATCACTCCTCTGCCATGCACCAAAATCCTCCATGGTGGCAGCTCTTTCTAGGAAGTGCTGAAGGTCTCATTCCTACTGCTGAAGTACACACTGATCATATGTGAAACTACTAAGGAGAAAAGCAGCAAGGAAGTGAATGCTTCAGATTGGGACAATATTAAGTAGCTGTTCAGAGAAAATGTGTTTGCTTGTTATAGCAGCAGTGAGAGAAAACAGAGCTAATGTCAGAAAATAATTCGAGTTTTAAGAGACATCCCACCATAAGACCATCTGTTCAGGATCTAAATCAATTCTCTTATATATTACAACAGTTTTTAAATTATGTCTTCCTGGATTTTCACATGAGCCCACTCAAAACTGCATAGCAGAACTGGCTCCCATTACTACAACTGTGCTTAGACTGTCTCCATAACTCCTCATTTGTTCCTTTGCATTTAGTCCCATATTGGGGCTCTTTATTTTATCTTCAAAGCCCTACACAATTTCATTCTTGTTCTACCATCAGCTCACCCCCTTCTCTGCCACCAGATAGACAACTGCTCCCATTCATTGCATTTATCTCTGTTGCTGTTTGCATTCTGATATTCACTGATAAAAAAACCAAACAAACATGTATTTGTGATTTACAAGTAATTATTTTTATTCAATTTCTCTGCAAACCAATAGTGCTTTTAAAGCTGTTAATGAGTGACAATATGGATGCAGTTGTGGAGGCTGTCAGAGTCTTTGGCAATCTTTCCCAGCATCATGAGATCCGTGACTTCATCATGCAGAAAAAGAGTGAGTTACTTTTGCATTTGTAGGAGTTCTAGCATTTTAAATGTCCATGGTTCTAAGAAGAAAACATTGTTAATAAGCTGTCCCAGTTAAAGGGTAGAAGCAATCTTCCCTGACGTTTTGCAAATTAGGCAATAATAGTCATTGTAAACATCATTTTATTTCAGTTTCATTAAAATGGAAATATTGGAGTAGGAAAAATATGCCATGGTACTTTCACAAAAGTAAATACTACAAAAACTGTTTTTCCTTCAGTTTCGAATCTGAAATTTCCCTTTACTCAAATAGCTTTTCAGATTCTACAGGTTAGTAGTGATATGATATAAAATGAAAATCCTACTAAAATCTCATTTAGGTTCCTAATCTCAGATTTTTGATTCCCATATTTAACAGCTTGTTAGCACTTTGTAACACGCACCTAGGATTTGACTGTCTCAGCAAAGACCTCCTATTTGCCTAGGGGTGAAGTAGGATACAAGTCTTCTCAAGTCCTTTTGCTTTGGGTATCTGAAGAGCTTTGGGAAAAATGGCAACTCCTTGCTATCCACAGAAGCTGTGTCATCAGCTTAGACACCAATTCACCGGAATTTTATTTTATTTTTTTTTTTGGTCTGCCTCTTGACACCAAAAGTGAGGTGATCATGCCACAGTACGCAGCTCTTTATTCCAGGGGTGGAACATCACCGTGACGCTTAGTAGCTGGTTCCTGGTGAACAGTCTCAGTCAAAGAACTAAATTTTCCAGCTGGGAGAGACTGTGGTGTTGGTATGCCAAGCTCAGGAGTTGCTGAGAGGCTTCCTCTCAAATGAGGCCAGCCCAGCTCCCTGGCTGGGGTTGGCTCCACAGCTCTGCAGTCAGTGCCAGCAGGTGCTGCAGGACGCTGCAGGTCTGTGCCTGGCTCCCACAGGAGCCCCAGGCTGCTGCACTTCCAGCTGGACTTGGAGCAATCTGGGGCAACCCTGCCCTCACAGGGGAAAGAACTTCCCCCTATGAGTGCCAGATGCCAAATTCTTGCAGTTTCTGCTGACTGTGAGATGGTAAGGGGGGGTTATACTTTCAAGAAGTAAACTGCAATTCAGTTTGGTCAACTTAGCCTCTTCTGACAGGATTTTCATGTACTTTGGTGTATTTTTATTACTTGAATTTCTGGTTTGTTGTTTGGAAGGAAACTGGTTGCAGCATGATGTTACTCTGTCATATGCCTCCTCTGCAAATGTCAGTAATACACTACAAGGGTGAACTTTTGGGTAGGGTATCTGTTATTTGACTGCTTTCTAATAAGTATGTTGTAGTGGCACTTGTATGGTAAATCCATCTTCCTAGTAAAACTATTTCCTTCTTTACAATCCAGTATACAAGTTCATGATTGCTTTGCTGGATTCCAAGAACCGAGAGGTCTGTTTTCCTGCCTGTGGAGTTCTGCTCAATCTCACCGTAGACGAGAACAAACGAGCTTTTCTTATGGAAGAAGGAGGAATTGGAAAGTAAGTTCCTGATTGTGCTTGAGTAAAGGCAATTTCCAGTAGTTTGGCCAAAAAGTTTCAATTGGATTCTTTTTTACTAGGCCCAATAGCTTGTAATACAGCATAGTAAATACTTGGTATGTAAAGTTTTTGGAGAACAAGCCTTTCATAGGAGCCAAACCCCACAGAAAAGTCTTCCAAAGATCCTCTGTGATGTACACAGCAGAAGATACCATAGAAGAAAGCAACTAAGGCTTGGCTTTGAAGCAGCTGCTTGTGCTTGGCTTAACTGGATCCTAGGTGGGCTACAGTGAACAGCACAGTCACTGTGTGTCTGGTGCAAGTGTGAAGGTACTTCAGGAACTGATATCCCACATGGTCCCTTGGAATTTTTGTAACCACTTGGTTCTGTAGGGAAAAACAGCTGATGTAGCCATGCTCAGCAGCGAACAGCTCCAGAGTCTCCTCTCTCTGGGAGTTCAAGTTCAAGGCACTATAACATTGTAAGGGATATTAGACCTTGAAAAACCACTGTGGATGCAACACTTGTGGCTTTGATGTTCAGATAATAGCAGATCGAGCTTAATTGGAGCAACATGAAAGATCATGTTCCTGTGCTTGTAAAGCAGTTGATACATCCCACAGTTATGAAACAATACACTTCACTTTGAAATACTTTCCTGTTCATACGTCATATAATTACTTTTTTATACACTGTAAATAATGCATAGTCTTCTTGTCCTTCCTTCCCATGTTCTAGTTAACTTACAATATAAAGCTGGAAAAGGAGAATAAAAATAAGTTGCTGGCAAATTGAATAATAAATGTGAGAAATTTCTATTATATAGAATATTTTGTAACCTATAGAATTATGTAAATTCAGAATTTTCTATACTGCGTCTGAAAATTTGTGAGGGAAAGAACAAAAAGCAGTAACCCCATGGAATGAATCTAGAGAATTTGGAAGTGATTATTAAGGAGATCATCCTGACTGTACCAAACCAGCTCTATGGATTTTTGGGACTGAGGTTATTGTACCCATACATAGTGGCCCCAAAAAAATAGGGAATTAGCCTCATCAGAGGGTTGAATTTAAAAAAAAAATAGGGCAAATTCTTTTGGCTTTTCATTAGATGCCTCCTGTTGTTCCACAATGACTGCCTTCAGAGAGGAGGAAAAAAGCAAACGTCTTTTTGGGTGGTCTTCAATGACCCTTTTTTTCAGCCATACCTGAATATAGTAGTTATTCTTTACTAATCAACAGATTATAAATCTCTCTGTGAAGTGGAGAAGTGAGGGAAGGAGGAAGGTCCTAAGGTTGAAGAAGAGCACAGCAGTGAAGGATTATTACTGGAGAGGTCACCAGGGACAGCAGGTGGAAGAGGTTTACTTCTGCAGGCTCAAGACCTGGGAAATCTGCAGTTTGGAAATGGGAGCTCTGGGTAGCTATTGTCTGTAAGCTGGTGCAGGCAGAAAAGTTACAGCTTCATTTCAGAGTCCTGTTTAGGATCCAGCCTGAATCTGGTGTCTGCAAGGAAGAGAGTTGGGGAGAAAGGTCTGGAACCTAATGGTCCTTAATAAAACAGGCATTTCTGAGAGGAGTCCCTAAGGAGTACAGGCTGAGGAAGTGCAAGAATGAGTGAAATCTGCAAAACTGTGAGACTTTGCTGAATGTGAAAGGTAATTCTTTGATCATGGAAGTAGCAAATTCCTTTGGATTTGTTTCTGTTTTGGTGAGATGATCTGATGTGTAGTAAGATGGATATTCTGACTGAAGCTGTTTCTGCATTCCTGCCACCTTTTCCAGATTAATCATTGGTGCCTGATAAAGTTTGGCTTGGATTGCAATCTCTGCTTTGGTAGTAGCCACAGATTTGGGACAGTCACAGATTGTAATGAAATTTGATGGAATTTTAGTATCTTTGAAATGGTTACATTTGCAAAGAATGTGAGTGAATTTGGTCAGTTGGGTTAGAAATTTACAGAGGATGGGCAGCTGCAGGCAGGCACACACATATGTGTAGACAAAAGGCATGTCCACATCCTTGGGGAATTACACTAAATGAAAAGGGGGAAGTTACTGAGCATCTGAACTTTATTAATGTAGAATTTTCCTGCAAACTTCCATGGAACTTGCTTACATTTCTAGACTGCCAGAATTTGAAGAGCTCAGGAGAAAAATCCATGGAACAAACCACTGTTTTTTTTGGTACTGACAGGTTGGTTGACTGCTTACAAGACTTCGGGCCAGCAGACTGGCAGCTGTCGTGTTTGATCTGCAAAACCCTGTGGAACTACAGTGAGAGCATGAGGAGCACGGCCTCCTGCTTCAGAGGAGACACCAACACGCTGCTGGTGCTGCTCACAGCACTTCTCGGTGAGACTTGTAGTCTTGGTTTCATTTCCTCAATGAAAGAAATGGAAGGAGCAAAATGAAAGCAGGATTAGTTTGGCTGGGAAGTCTGTCCTGCAGCTTTCAGTGGCTGGCCGGTGTGGACTGTCCAGCAGCACAGTGGTCCCTGTGCAGCACACACTGGGCCCCTGGGGATCCTGGCATTTCTGGGGTGCAGCAGGCTGACTTTGCTCTCTGGCCACCTTTCTTTTCTCTCCATGGTCTCCTTGTGGGCAAGGACAACATCCTGACTATTTCTCATCTGCTCCCTAAAGCCAAGAAGGGTGTGCTTATTGCTCCACAAAGGCTGAAAGGTGAATGGTTGAAAGGTTGATTTGCCTTACCCAGTGGGATCTTTTCATCTGGGCATTTACTTTTGCTTCAAATTTTATGGAGTTTAGTGGCTGTGTAATAGTCCTGTAGTCAGTATATGTAATTCTCCTCCTTTAGTTTTTGAGCACGGCTTTGCTTATGATTTTGTTTCGGGTAGGTCACTAGCAATTATCTTAAAAAAAAGATCTTTAAAATAGAAATTAACTATGTTTGACATGGTTTTAATTGCAAATTGAGTAAAGATGTATACTTACTGTCAGACCCAGACAGAATATGAACTCTTGTGGTCTCTTTTGTTGTAGACAATCAGAAAAGTGGGTGGATTTGTGAGGATTTTTTTTCCAGTTACAGCAGAATTACTGATAATCACTGATGTAATAGTTCCTTGTATTACATTCCTTGCTATGATGGACTTTATCTTAATGTGTGCAGTAATTCCATTTATTTATCTGAAAATAGCAATTTTGAATTTTCTGGCAGACACTGAGGGGTATAGATCTTTGTTTTAGAAAGCACGTGCTTATTTTTTCCCTCTGCATTTAACACTGCTTATTGAAGTCATTGATTTGACTGCAGGGTCCAAGGCTGGATAGCAGTTGTAACTCTCATTGAATAGTATAACTTTCATGAGCTGGAAGTTCATGTACAATTGCAATTGCAGTTACAGTTGAGATTGTAATGCAGCTATAATGGTAATTAATTAGGAATAGGTTAGAATTAAATCAGAAGGCCAGTCATTCTTCACACTGTAGTCAGAAGAGGAGCTGTAGAAAAAACACATCTTATTCATTGGATCTGGTTCCTCTGTGTGCAGAGAGCCAACAAATCTTAGTAACAGCAGCTGGTTAATATTGTCCTACATCTTCCTCCTCCCATTGTGTCCAGTAACAGCCTTGAACCGTCATTGCTCTGATTCTATCATTCAGGAAGCAGGAGGCAACTGCTGACAGCCAGTGAACTGTACTTGAGCGTCAGCACACCCTCAGGAAGCGGAAAAAGTGGAGCATGGCACAGCAGACACCTCACTTCACCTGCTGTGCTTGGCCTCCTCCCCTTTATTTTTCCCTCCCCAATCTGGCCCAGGATGACGAAAGATACAAGGAAGCAAAAAGGGACTGGGAATGGCCTAAAAAGATGTTGTGCCCAAGAGAAAGGCTGGACAAAGGGCATTATTTGTTTTGCTTTTCCCCTGACTGATCCCAGCAGCCTGGGATGCAGTGGCCCTGCTCTCCAATGGCATTTGTCATTCACCTTCTTTCAGCTGCTCTTGAGTTTCCCGTCACTCTGCTGGCTCAGAGCTTCTGGAGGCTGCTGTTCCCAGGCTCCTGCCAGCAGCTTTGCCTTAGCCCAGGCCCTCATGAGCAGTGGTGGAAATTAGCTTCTGTCTTGGGAACATTCTTCTGTTTGGTCTTTCACTGAAGAGAAAGTTTCTCCCTCTCTCTCCAGACTTTTTTCTTGTGCTGACTTTTACCTCCACTGTCAATCCCAGGACATTATTTTGGAATCTCAGTCTATGTGAACTTTTACATGACATGACAGAGCTTCCAGGGCTGCCTTGCTGGTGTTTCAAGGATGGGCAGCCTTTGCAGACTTCAGGAGTCTGCATGCCAGTCTCCAGTTTCCCCCACAGTATGCAGGCCCAGTGTGTTTGTCTTGTTCCTGGGCTTGCAGCCAGCACATATGCTCTTTGGCCAGCACCCAGTATTGCTGGTTTTTGAGGACAGTTGTGGGAAAATTAAATTATCTGAGGATGCACAGCTTGCATGCAGAACACTGATCCTTACTGATCCACAGCATTACTCACATTCTGTTTTGCAAAATTTACTGTTTCAGTTCAACACTTGAGCTTTGAACTGCTTCTGACCCTTGTTCTTGTAGGCTGGAATTCTCGACCTCTGTGATTCAATAAATATTCAGTTGACTTCTGGGGAGCACAGCTGTCTAATAAAAGGGAGAAATGCCTCTCACTCTGTGTTAGAACAGAGTTAATTTGGGTAGAAAAAGCCAGGAGCAGGCAAAGCAATTCTCCCTGAAAACAAACCCATAATCCCTTATTTTCCACTTCAGGGTCTCTGGCTTCTCTGCTGCTGAGATTGATTTTAGGTATGCTGGGTTACATTGATAGGACAAGAGCTAATGGGCACAGGTTGAAATAAGACAAAATTGCAATTAAACACTGGGAAAAGAGATTTCCATCGTGGCAGGGCATAAGCACCGGAAGAGGCTGCTGTCCTAGAAGGTGTTCAGTGTTCAACAGTACATGGTCTAGAGCAAACTGATACATGGTGACTCTGCTCCAGAGGTTTTTCCCAACCTAAATTATCCTGTGACACTATCAAATATAGATTTGATGTCACAGGCTAGATTTTATCTCTGATTATAAGTTTTCTTCCTGCAGAGATATGACATCCTTCTTGAAAGAGTGGGTGTTCTTTTCCTCTTTATTTTATTACAGAAAGACTCTAAATATCTCCTTACAAAGAACACCTTTTGGAATCTTTCTCACAATCAGTCTCTCTTTAATTTTGGTAGTCGCAGTGTAGTGGCACAGGAGCCAAATACTGTTTGCAGTTGCTGGTAACTGTGTGTGAGCTGGAGCCCATCTCCACACACAGGAATATCATTTCCTCCTTCATACCTGTCTCAGCTCAGGCCATCTGGTCTGCACAGGCATCTTGGCATGCTTTTGGATCAGAGTAAGTGCTGTTGGAGCATCTCTTTTCTACACAAAGTTTGACTCAAAATGCGGGTAACTGAAGTTTCTCCTCAGCCCCAAGTTTACCTTTACCTGCTGTGACTGTGCAATAAGCTCCCTTACAGAGTTATTAACACATTGTGAACCTGGTGCCAAGGGTTAAATATTGCCCATTTGGAGCAGGATTCTACTTTCATTTTAGGCCAAAAGGCTGTCAAATATCCTTCTGTTAAACTGTGTGAAATCATTTGTTCAGCATTATCAGTTGTGTTTGTAGATTCCTGATTCAGGAGAATGGTTCTGGTTGCAGACTGATTTCTGTTTTCTCCATGAATTTGTTTCTTTGCCACATCCAGTGCCAAGCAAAATGCAGGAGGAAAAATGACAGATGACTTCCTTTTATTCCTAACATTATCTTCAATAAAGACTGTCCTGTTGTTTTATTTTTGAAATTTGTGAGGAAGGGAGGGCATCAGTAAATACAACTAGTGTGCTTCAAGTTCCTTCAGTGAGAGAGTAGGTAGAGTTTGAAAGAGTCTCCAGATTAGCAGAGCAATTTGGGACAGGAAAAACATATTGTAGTTCAGTGAATGCATTGCTTACCTCAGCAAAACTGCTGTGGGCAGTGCTAAACCCTGGGTACTTTCCAGTCTGACAGTCACAGTAAATGATCAATCTCAGAGACAGTTTTTGTCTGGGAGACATCTGTGAGGTATGAGAATAAAAGAACCTGCAGTACCATTTTCACTGTTCTACTGACCTTACCATCCTTTATTTTCAATTAAATCTAAGATCCTCAGACAGTGATGTTTAACTTCTTTCAAGTGCTGTTGTTTTTAAGCCATCAGCACACAGAGATGGTAAGCTGTATGTGTCACAAAATACATAGTTGAGTGTATTTTTATTTGGAACTGATGACGCTGTTTTCCTTGATTACAGATGAAGAGGTAGAGTTGGAGTGCAGCCTTGACAGAGATATAAAGGACTGCCAAAGAGTTTATTGGGAAAGAGAGTTCAAACCCGTGGCAGAAAAACTTCTTGACAGAATTCAAAGCCATCACTCTTCAGCTGAGTCTATCACTCCATTTTAATCAGTCGAGGGTTTTTTTGTCAGGTAAATTGTATGTTTCTAATATACCTGTAACGTTGGTAAGCTTGTTGGAGAGCATGACTATTTAAAAAATAGAAGTCAGAAAAGCGTGGAATTTATGTGCTGGATGCTATCTTTTGAAGAGCTTGTATGAAATTTTTGCATGTGTAATTGCCTTTTACAATATACTTGAGCTGATGAAGCAGCTGTTCAGTGTGACTTGCCTGGTAATTGCATTGTTTCTTGACTGGAAAAATGAAACAACAATATTTGCTGAACTTCTAATTTTTAAAAGGTAAGTTATGAGTGAGTACTTGGACCTCTGTGGTACCAAAAATGCTGTGCAAACAAGTGTTATATGACAGGAGCCACATCTCACCTGCACAGACTTTGACACTTTTACCTTAAGGAACTTCTGTGACAGAGTAACCAGATGCTATTGGGGCATTTTCCTGTGTTCTTTCACTCTTCAGATTGAACACTGTCGGTGGTCAGGGAAAGTCAACCCTCTTTCCTTGGGAGATCCCCCTTCCTTCTGATATCGGGTGCTAGGGTCTAGGCAGCTGGCCCAGCTGCTGCCTTGGTGCCTGTGGGATGTAGGTTCTCATCTTTCCTGAACTGGGACTTCACATCTTTAGGCAAAGCACCCATATCCCTGATGTCAGAGATTTTACCTTCTTTCAGTTGGTCCCACACTCCCAGGAGCTGCCTGTGTGCCTTTATTTCTCAGATTTCTTGGCCAGCTATCTCCTCTGAATCTGTGTCTTCATCTGTGGGGCCATAACAGGCCTCTTGCTCCCTTTTTCTCCTGACTGCTGCTGGCTTGTTTATTGCTCAGTTTTCATCCTTCCAGCGTGTAAAAGTCCCTGCTTGTAGCCCATGGATTAGCTCCATGGGGACATCGCTGGCCTCGAGTGTTAACAGCCCAGTTGGACACAGTGAGCTTTATAGACCTGACCCATTTCTCTCTTTGCTGACCTCAGATTACTAGGAACAAACTGCTGTGCGGGGGCTGCCGGGCTCCTGCTCCCACGGGTCAGCAGCATCGCACTGGGCCGTGCGCAGCAGGAGCAGCTGCGGCCCAGCAGTCCCAGGAGAGGCTGGGGGAATTTGTTGGGAGGCAGCGATTCAGAGCTCCCTCAGTGGCACCGTTCTCTCTACCTTTGGTAGTGCCCAGACCTCTACTTCCAGGTGAGAAGAGGAAGCGAGGAGGCTGGGAAGTAGAGCCATAGTAGAAGGGCAGGAAGACATTTTTCCTAGTTTAGATCCCTGCTTTTACAAGGAAAGGGAGATTTTGTGGTCCAGGTTTTGGGAGTGCTGAGGAGGAAAACTGGTGGAAGTGAACATTTGCTCCATTCTTTGTGTCTCAGCAGCTCACGTTACTTTTGTCCAGCAAGGTTCAGCCCTGCTTTGGGAGCTTGTGTGGTGGCAGCCTCTGTAACTGCAATCCATGGGAGAGAAGTGCTCAGCATTCAGTGTGGTTTGGCTCCAACAGCTCTGGTCAGCTCAAAAATATCTCAATTATCAATCCCTTCTTTTGCCATTTTAATTTTAGCTGAAGGGAAGATAAATGGCTTCAATGTCCCATTTGTATCTGGGAGAAAAGAATGGATTTGCTTTGAGAGTATTAAAGAAAGGATGATGGGTAAGTAGTCCCTGTGGGGAAGAAACTGGAGGCATTTGTTCCTGGCATTTGTGTCACAGCAAGGCAGGCAAACCCCTAGTTGTGCAGGACAGGGTGAGGGCACTGGAAAAGGCCCCCGTGGCCAAGCCCTGTCAGCAGGACTAACCAGAATTGACAAGGGCCAAGTCTCTGTCAGAAGGCAGCTGAAACTGATGGCTGGCTCAGGTCAAGGTGGTGCTTGGGAAATTAAAATTTGTTCAAATACAATACTAATTATGTCAGTTAGTACTGATCAAACTGTAACCAAGAGCCTGAAGCACTGTGTCAGCAGCACAGGGCAGAGCTGGGGATCCTGTGGCAGCCACCATGTGTGAGCTCTGGCCTTTGTGCAGGAATAGGCACATTCAGAGGAGCTGGATTGAGAAAAGAGGGTGGCACAGGACTCTTGAGCACCCCTCACATCAAGCCCTACCAGCCTGTGTTTTTCTCTGGTGAAAACCCTGTGAGTAGTAAGAAGCAGCCCCAGAATGCTGGATTTCAGGTGTCTTCCTATAGCATTGTTTACCATTTGGGTATCTCTGCCACAGACCTGTGCAGCAGCTCCCTCATGTCCTGGAGCCCACTCCTGTTTCCCGCTTGGGAGAGCTGCCAGCACCGCAGCTGAGCTACGAGAGGCTGCTGTGCTTTACAGGCTGGGCTGGGGCTCTGCTGGAGCTGCCCTGGAGTACTGGGCAGGGAGTTGGGATTGCCAGCAGGTTGTGGCTTGTGCTCTGATGGCAGCTGTCACCAGATGAAGCCGTTCATACACAGATCTGCTGCAGTGTTCACTGCTTGAAAAGCGCAAAGGCACTTGGATGCGGCTGGACAGCGTAGGGTGGCAACGGCCAGTTTAGGTTTCTTGGCAAAATTCATGTCTACCTTTGACTTCAGAAAGAAACTCCTCACAGACTGGAAAGGCACAGCTCAGCTATACAATGCCCTCAAGACAGGAAAGTTTTGCTCTGTTTTTGGAACATTAAAAATCCTGTATTTTCAGTTAAGAGGAAGCACCAGATGCTTCCTGTTAGTCACAATTTTTGACAGTTTATTAATCTTTCTCCCCTAGATCTTTTTAGATATTTTAGCTTCTTGGACTGTAAACTTTAAACTGTTTTCAGAAGGTTCTGTAGAAAGAGAAACCAGTCTGAGCCGAGACCCAGGCCAGAGGACGGAAATTAAACTGATGCCGCTTGTGGGCTTGGGAAAATCCATTTCACAGAATCACAGAATATCACAGAATCAGCTGAGTTGGAAAGGACCCATCAGCATCATCGAGTCCAACTGCTGGCTCTGCACCACACACCCCAAGAAACACACCTTGTGCCTGAGAGCTTTGTCCAAATGGGTGAAAATATCTGCAGTACAGGAGAGGTGTCCCGACTACAGTTCGTGAACCTCTGTTTTTATACTTTTCCTCCCACCATTTTAGACTTGCTTAAAAAATTCATGTCTCTTGAATTTTACTGTGTTTGCTCAGATATTGTTTCAAACTTTTTAAATGGTCTCAGAACCAGTAAGAACAGAAGCTTAAAGTTAAACCACACAGAAACACCAAGAGAAAAAGTTGTTACCTTTATTTCAAAAATACCTGTAATACTGACAAATTTAAAAAGCAATTCACACTCATACAAAAGTATTCATGTGTTCTCCAAAACCATTGTATATTAAACGTCAGCATTTTAATCACGTTTTGATTTACTAAAAATAGATGTTTTTTAGCCTAGTTATTTAAGCAACTGCAAAAATCATTAAGACCAGCGTTGGGCATGTAATACAGTAGGACTGTTTGGCAGTCTAGAACAACATTCCCACACCTTGTCCTAGCTCCTTTTTGGTTCATCCGTGAAGAGGAGGACAAGAAGCTACTCGACACTTTGTGTAGGTAGATCTCTAAGAAGCTCTGATGACTCCAGCCCCCTTCTTTCCATAGGAAGACCATTGCACTTTGGAGCTCACAAAATAATGCTGAACAAACATCCTGTTTTTTAAGGCTAAACTAGTTGAGAAAATTGACTGCTATCTTTCAAATTATCAGTGTGGACAGAGAGGTTTAGTTCTGATTAAACAGGCAATCTAAATAACAAGGCTTTTTTGAAACCACACACAATAAAGGCTCAGACAATAGCAGTGCTCACTTTCACTTCTAGCTCAACTGGAACAGCCTGGGTCTGTTCACTCCACCTGCACAAATAGCAGCATCAAGATTTTCTAAAATTATTCTCATAGGGAAAGCAAATGTCACCAAGTCCCAGTTCTTTTCGCGCTCCGACTCCCACAGCATTTGCCTTAACACAAGATCTATGTATCTATGGTTTGCTATATTGCCACAAGTTCAGAGAATGTCCCGGGCTGTCTAAAGCCAAAATACCATGAGCAGGCAGCACTTCTGCACAACCCTGTCTGTCAACTGCCAAGCGTTCGCTGCCCAGTGGCAGCAATGATATTCCGAACATGGAAACAGCTGAAACTAAAGGAGTTATGGCACAATGGGCATCTTAACTTATAGCTACTGTTGGTCCTGAGGCTTCGTATCTTCCTCTGCCACACTGCAGCTGCAGAACATTCCAACGTCGACAGGCAGCCAGAGACATCAGGTCATATAGCGAGTAATAGCTCTCAGAGCATAAAGTAGTTCAGCTTGCATCCGAGCTTCTACCAGAAGCAAATTTACATGGACCTTCAGGAGAGAGAAGTTGTTACGCTTTAGGCACCGTGCTCAATACCACGTGCTGCAGCCAAAGGAAGCCTCGGGGCTGTAGGTGTTGTGCTGGTGCAGCAGCAGGGGAGCACTGCCCCTGTCACCACCCAGACCTTGCTGTGGAGCTCACTGAGGGCGCAGAGGAACTAATGCCACACCTGGTACTGAGGCACAGCACAGCACTGGCTCACAGGCACAGTTAGGCAGGGCCAGGGCCATGGGAAGAGGAAACCATCCTTTAGCAGACCAGCTGGTTTAGCTGGAAAAAACAGACAAGCTTTCAAGCACACAAGCCCTTTTTCAGCAGCACAATATGCACAGCTTGTTCAGTTTTAATGAGGATAGCAATTAAAGGCAGAAGGGCAGTGAGTACCTGTGGAGCAGAGATGGGTGCTAGCAAAAGCAGAGGTGATAGGGACATTTGCCACTGGGGACTGAGAGAGAAACACACAGGCAGCTACCACCTGAACAACACAGAGTGGTTGTCCAAGGTGATGCACCAGAAAAACTCTCAAGTGTTGTAAACCTGCTGTCTCTGCTGAGACACAGGTGTTCAGTAGCTGCCGGAGGTTAAGAATTTGAGTTCCCCAGATCGTCTCCTCAATGCCTTCACTGCATTTCTTTGAGGATGAGATCAGAAACTTCTGGGGGGGGGGGGAAGGGTGTGAAAGTATTTTCTCACTGACAGCAGGTTGCTGTGAGTTTGCTCTGGCCTGTAAGGGTTGTGTGTGGTTTTATTTGCATGATCTTTGTGAGGAT